AGTTCTTGGTAACGTACGGGTTTGTTTGCTATGAACAGTAGAGTGTGGGTTTGATTGTTGTGAAAATCTATGGAACTTTGCTCTGATACCAATTGATGCAGCAGAGGGTAGGGGTAATTCGAGAACAGAATTCAAGTAAATAAGAAAGAGGTTAAGATAGAGATTGAGAGAGAAATAGAATAAGAATAATAGGGGAAGAAATCAGAATGAGAGAGAAGAGAAGAATAATCAGAATTGAGGGAGAAGAAACCACAATAATTTTTGAATAATAATCAATAATCAATATCAAAAGCTGGCTTTCACAATATCTAAACCAACATATAAATAGGCATCGAAGAAAAACCCTAAAATTCTTATTACCATAAATAAAACCCTAAAATTCAATAATAATTATAAAAGCAAAAGCCCTAATTCTATCTTTCTTCCCACGTCTCCAATAGTAGGCGTGGGCCATATGGACTTCAAATTGTCAGTCAATTTGTTAGTAATCCTCATAAGCCCCATCTAGCTGCAGTTCATCGTATTCTTCGTTATATTCGGGGAACTATGGATCGAGGGCTCTTCTACTCTTCAACCTCTTCCTTGGAACTTCGCTGTTATGCTAATGCTGATTGGGTTGGCTGCTAAGATACACAACGATCTACTACAGGTTGGTGTATGTTTTTAGGGTCATCACTCATCTCTTGGAAGTGCAAAAAACAGCCAACAGCTTCAAAATCATCTGCTGAGGCTGAATACAGGTCTATGTCATCTGCTAGCAGCGAGGTGATATGGCTTCGTAGACTTCTTCTAGAACTTGGAATTCCAATTCTTGGTCCAACTCTCCTCTATTCTGACAACACTAGTGCTATACAGATTGCTCATAATCCCGTGTTTTATGAAATGACCAAGCATATAGAAGTTGACTGTCATTTTATTCGACACCATGTTCTCACAGGTTCTATACAGCTCTGTCATGTTTCGTCTGAGAACCAACTTGCAGATTCATTCACAAAAGCCTTACCTCACCTCGTCCACGTAATGAATTTCTAACGACCAAATTAATGCTTGATCAGAATCCGCATCAATTTGGCACCCGGGGGAGAGGGGGGGTGGGTGTGTAAATAGTGACAATAATTATGCCTTACAATTAGGGATTATATTAGCTAACATTGATTTACCCTAAATAAAGTTGCTGTAATTATGGGATTAGATTAGTTGACTTACCTTTTAGATAGCTGCTGTAATTACTACTCCTTGATTGTAGCCACTTTGTTTGACTAACATGCTCATTTCTAGGTTAAACCTAGTGAGGAAAGCCTGGAGTCGTTCGCCTTCTTGTTGTCGCATGGTGAATAAACATGATATGTCCTTCTCAAGTCATAGAGCTTTTGGAAACTTCCCACTAATCCCTTCGGCAGGTGTTTGAACCAGTTGAGCGCCGGTCCTATAAGTCTTGTTGGGAAAACCTTATACATCAGGGCATCATCTTCGGTGTCCAGGGCCATCTTCAGTTGGACCAGATATACATGCTCTGTAGGATCCTTAGTTCCATCGAACAGCGTGAACATCGGCATGGAGAACTTCTTAGGCTTCGGGGACAGGAGGATCTCTTTTGTAAAGGGCGACTCAACCGTTCGAAATGATGTCCGAGCAGCTTTGTTGCTCTCTGGTGGCCCTCTGAGCGTGAGTGCTCAGATCCGACTGGTACATTTCATCGAATGTCTGGTCCGCAGTCGATTCCTTCGGTGCTGGAGGACAAACCTCGACACGTTCCACCTCATCCTTCGGCCCCGTGGATCTACATGGACAAACCCCGTTTGGCCCACTTGCTAGTTGATATCCTTTACTTCCACCCTCTCAGCCTCCACTAGCGGATGAGGGAGTGGAGGCGCATCCCTTCGCTCCATCCCTGACCGGAGCTCAGTGTTCTCCCGTTGCATGGTCTCGATGACTTGCATTAGATCGTCATGCCTGGTTCGCTCGTTCTCGTTACGTTGATGCGAGTTTCCTTCTCTGATCATGGTTCCCGATCAGAGCTGTGTCATGGTTTCAGTGTTGAAATCGATGGATCTCCTCTTTCGTTTCCCACAGACGGTGCCAGATGTAGGTACAAGAAAATTCCTTTACTATTCTCGGAAAGTTTTTCTTACACCCCAAAGGACTTTGACCTTCTCTCTCTCTCCTTTCCTATTTATATATCTCCTTTATGCCGTAATTTATTTCCTTCTTTCCCAAGTTGATGGTTGATGTGCTTTTTTCTCCCTCTTCTTTGGTCTGAACCGGGCCACCGTACTTCCTTCCTTTTGTGGACTGCTTATTTGTCCAGCCCAATTTTCTCTTCTCACTGGGCTAGAGATTTGGTGCTTAGTCCATTTGGGTGTGGGTTGGGCCGGATTAAGTCCATGAATAATACGGCCCCTTCACTCTCCAAGCATCAATCAAATCCCTCGAAGATCGAGGCATAACCCTTTGGACTCCGAACAAACCAAAAATAATGCTTCAACGGTTGTGAGCCACGGGCAATGAAATGAAAAAGAAGGTTATTCATGGACTCTCCACCCCTCGTACACAAACAATACCAATTCACTATAATCTGTCTTCTCTTTCTTAGATTATCCATGGTCAAAATCTAAACCCATATTGCACTCTAAGCAAAGCATGCCACTATGAGAGGAGCCTTCGAGCGCCAAAACATCTTCCAAGGGAAATTAGAACATGAAAATGGGAGAGGCAAATGAACAAGGAATGGACCTCGAACCTCCCCTGAGGAGAGGGCACCCATATTAGGAATCAGAGCCTCTGCCATCCACCTCCTATCTATACAAAAAATCCAGCAAGCCAGAAACATCGTTCAACTCCCAATCTTGAAAAGAACGCTGAAATCGCACATCCCATGTGAGCCTACCACTATCAAGCCATTAACAGTCGGCCACCAGGGCATGACGAAAATAACACAACTACGGGCGATCGCCACACCATAAATCCTCCCAGAACCGAACATCCCCTGCCATCTCTAACTCTGAATCTAATGTGTTTAGAAAATCAACCCGGTCCTTCCGGATAAATTTCCATACTCCCACACCACCAACAAATCTAACTGGACTAGAGGACCACCCACCTCTCTCCTCTCCAAAACGGCGCAAGATAACCCTCCTCTAGATATGATGCCATTCGCCACCGAATCTCCACAACCACTTACCAAGGAGAGCCTTGTTGAAAGGGACCAGCCTCCTAATGTCAAGACCACCCAACTGAATACGCCTGCAGACTTGCTCCCAACGGACAAGATGATACTTGAACTCCTCCCCCCCGACCGCCTCAAAAGAAATTCTATTGAAGTATCTCAATCCTTCCAGCAACTGAGGAAGGAATCCGGAAGAGAGCTAGAAAGTTTGTTGGAAGACTCGACAATGTATTCTTCATGAGAGTTACCTTCCCACCCTTCAAAAGATACTACTTTTTCCACCTAGCCAATCTTCTCTTAAATCGCTCAATCACAGGATCCCAGCCTCCCACCCTCCTCAATGAAGCATCCAAAGGCAGACCCAGATAAGAGATAGGGAAGGAACTCACCCCACACCCGAAAACCGCAGCAAGAGAAGCAACATATTGAACCTCCCCCACAAGGACAAGCACACTCTAAATTCATTTGCTGTAGGCCGAAAAGTGACTTTGAGTATAAAAAGTCAGTAATGGCCTTATATTATAATAATATATTATATTGCATTTTATACAAGAAAGTGCAAAATTGTCAATTTATAAAATTTGGTCACTAGTTGTGCCAGAAAGAAAGCACTAGGGGTTTTGTTGAGCATACGCCCCAAATCTCAGGGGAGGTCAAAGTAATAAACGCTCAACGGCCTACCTATGTTTAATTTGTCCGTACCTCAGGGGAGGTCAGTGTTATTTACCCTTTAAGTTATGCACTTCCTTTGTGAAAGGAAATAGTATAACTTGTCTAAGCCATTGTAGAATAGTGGTTAAGTGCCAACATGGAATCTAAAGATAAGGAGTGGGCTTTTAGGTTCCATTTCATATTGAAAAAATGAATCAGAAACTTAAGTAGAGCTTTTGCATGTCAGATTTCATGTGTTAGCATTTGTCATTTTTGTTCTTGTTCTCATGAGTGGGGATCCTCTATTGATTGCATGGACATATACATATATTTGCATTTCATTTATATATGTATAGAATGATTGCACATGATATGACGTAACCCTCACCTTTTGCATAAACCCCACCCTAGATGAATGCTGAATTTGGTTCCATGTTTCTAGATCATATCAAGAAGTATTAGGAATAGGAGTTTATAATGATGTAACGTAAGCCAGAAGAACCAACTAGATGTTACCATGTTAATAAGCTATCTGGCACCTTCATTCTGTGGATAATTAGTCCAATACGTGAGTTTATAACGATGTAGTAGTGTACCCCAGTCTTGCCCCTGTAGTGTTGGGCCACTTATCTGGCTACTCTTTTGAATTAGAGATGTCTGTTCTTATTGATATATCATACCATGGGTTCCTCTATTGAGGGCATTATCTATCACAGTTACTGAAAAGTATTACTTCATCATATGGTGATAGTTTCTGGCTACATGTTTCAACCTTGAATTTTCATGAACTAGTTTAAAATATATCTTCACAAGATGGAAATTTGAAATATATCATTTTTCCCCCTGAATCATATGAAATATATCTTGTAATATTGACAATTATAATAAGCTTTTTACTACGTAAATTTTCCCTTTCTGCAATTCTTTTCGCAAATTCACTTGGTGGCTATCTCTTGTATGCATGCATTTTAGATGATGGTAGTTTCTTAATATTTTTTGTTACATTCTTAAATCTGAACAGAGCATTGATTTGAGGTTCTTTCTGTTGGGTGGATATTTTTGTGTTTCCGTTCAAGAAGACTGCATTATGTGCTCCTATAACTTTGGTTTTACAAATACAGTGTTGAAAACTTTACAAATAGAGTGATCATATGTTGAAATAATTGTAGTATTTTGCTCACAGAGGCCAAGAGTATGCATACTAGGTGGTGGATTTGGAGGTCTTTATACTGCCTTAAGATTAGAATCACTTGTATGGACGGATGACAAGAAACCTCAGGTAAGCTTTATTTACATGTGAACTTTTATATTTCTTATTCTTCTGACTAATTAACTTCTCAACTAGGTTGGACAGTATTTCTTTCATATGCTATTAGCATTCTTATGAATAATTTTATTTGCTGTTAAACAATCGCAAACTTTCTAGTTCGCATATTTTTGGATACATTGCTTCTTTTTTTTTTATTTATTATTTTTTAAGTAAGAGTATATTTCAAAGAAAAGGTCCCATGGACCCAAGGAACCCAAAAAATCAACAATCTCCTCTATAGATTTACAATTTCAAAGCCCCAATGGAAGATTCATCCACTTCGAAAGATCTTCTATTCATCTCCTTCCAAACACACCACAAAACACAAAAGGGTACCGCCCACCAGAAATCACAAGCGTTGAAAGTCTCCGTGGTTTTCATCCCGGTTGGTCGGATATCTTCCAACAAGCCAACAAGGGTTTCTACGCTCAAAAACCCGGTGTCATCTCTCAAACTCTACTTTACTCGCTTTACTTTATTGTTTATATTTTTGTGGTTGTGGATTTGCAATTGATAATCATTTTGGGTAATTACTCAATCACAAAAATCAAGCAAGTTCACCTATTCACCATCTAGGTCATTAGAGCACTGTTATCAACTTAATCAACATAACTGCTTCCGCACTGCGCTACTCACGCAAATTACCTAACACCGAAACAATGTATATTCTTGACACCTGACCTCAACTCCATATTTGCAAACAATGCCACAATTTGAATTCATGCCATCAAACATGTTTGGTCTTAATGTTATCCTTTGACAATTTTTCCTTTATCTTAATGAGTATGGCATATAGACAATCTTCACCCGGTTTTTGTTTTAGTTAAAGGAGAGAATATTTTAGTTTTCCCCTTTAGTTTGGGCTTACGCAGCTAATCCCTCTGCCTCCTTTTCGCTCAAAACAAAGACACAAATGTTATCACCCCAGTAACTTCCGAAAAAAGATGTTACCACTCCAGTGTTTATGTCATCATGACACCTTGCTTAGGTGCATTATGCCCTTGACAAAATTTGCTGATTTTCACTTTAATGCTTCCATCACATCACAAGCTTTTCATGTCAAATGTCTCAAGTGCTGGAATATTTTGACTTTAACAATTTAGATGAGCTTGTGTGTGGTTGGAAAAGAAGATTTTTTGGTGAAAAGAACTAAATTTTATTACCCAGGAAAGAAAGATTTGTAACAAGCCCAACTAGGAAAAAAAGAACAAAGATTTGTGACAAGCTCAATGTAGGACTGTTGGCAATAAAGAGACCAACTTCTTACAACCTGAGAGATTTCACACCTTTACTAGGGTAACAAACTTGATCACCTCCTAAAAAGCTGGAAGGAATAGGTTGTGTAATTTCTCACAAAAGCCTAAGATATGGTGAAGAAGGTCTATGGCCATCCCTCACACTCTGAACATTCTGCGAAGTGATGGTATACATACTTGGAGAGACTCATTGTCAACTGTTCTCGAAAAATTGTAGAACAAATTGAACTGGCATCATATGCAATTTTGGGCACTAGCCATAGACACAGGTTATAGAAGAACTTCAAAGAAGTAAACAAACATTATGTTGGTTACTTCAATGTCATAAATTATGCTGGCCACTGTTCGATAATTCAATTTCTGATAACGTGATATTGATTCAAACTGGGACCAGGTGCTTCTTGTTGACCAGTCTGAGTGCTTTGTTTTCAAGCCAATGTTATACGAGCTTCTGTCTGGAGGTAGGGTTGTATATTGGGTTTAAAAGTGATAGGTTCATTAATTTTTTGTACCCCAATTAGTTTTTACCTTAATGATAATTTACCTGATCATGATTTTATTTTGTACCAAAATGCAGAAGTAGATAAATGGGAAATTGCTCCACGTTTCTTAGACTTGCTAGAAAACACTGGTGTGCAATTTTTCCAAGACAGGGTGAAACTTATACATCCCTCTGATCAAATGGGGATGAATGGGCCTACAGGATCTAGCTGTGGAGGATCTGTGCATCTGGGAAGTGGTCTAGTTATTGAGTATGACTGGTATAATTTTATAGCCTCTATTCAACTCTTCTAGTTTCCTATAAGAATGTTTTAGTTTTTTAGTAAACCTGAGATAATTACTCTTCTCTGTTTTATCATATATTGACTTAAGTCACTTAATTAAGCAAATAGGATCTAACAGCAATCCATATGGATATGGTTTGTCATTTCTGAATCTCCATGTCAGCATCTGTATAATTCTGATTCTTAATATTTTATGCGCTTGATTTGTTCTTGCTGATTTTACATTTTTTGGACTTGGGCAGCTAGGTTGGTACTTGCTTTAGGAGCTGAAGCCAAACTAGATGTTGTACCTGGTGCATTAGAGTTTGCATTGCCTTTCTCTACTCTGGAGGATGCATTGGTTAGTACTTGAACATAGGAAAGCTAAATTATTCAGTGATATCTTTGGGTGGTCGTAATTAGCATCCATTTAAATTTATTTATTACTGCATTTACATCTTGATATTGCTGTGTTGCAGAAGGTTGATGAGAAGTTGAGAACATTGGAACGGAAGAACTTTGGTAAAGACTCTCCAATCCGTGTGGCTGTTGTAGGATGTGGTTATTCTGGAGTGGAGTTAGCTGCAACAGTAGCAGAGAGACTGCAAGATAAAGGAGTTGTACAAGCAATTAATGTGGATACCACAATCTTACCAACTGCCCCACCTGGTAACAGGGAAGCTGCCCTAAAAGTACGTAATCTGCCTCTATGTATAATGAGAGTTGGTTCAAAATGTGAAATGACACTGTTAATAAAACTAATTCTCCTTGCTGCAAAATTATGATGCCCATTAGTTTTTCTTTAAAAAGTTGTGTTTTAAATTCCCAACCTTGTCGAGTCCAACAATATTTGGAATATCAATTCATCCCCTAATTAGAATAAAATTCTATGAAGTGTGGATACCTCCCGAAGAGGTGCCATGGTTGTACTGGACAGTGTATAATACATTAATACATTGGACACACTTGGACATATGTCAATAATGTCCAGAAACATCCCTAATTAATTATTCTTATTCTTATTATTACTATTAATTTTTTGATAAGTAAGATTTCATTAAACAGCCCTCAAAAGGGGAGCGAACCCAAAGAAATACAAAGACGCCCAAAGTGACACTATAATTTCAAACTATCCACATCAACTCCAAAAGATGATCTAAAGATTTACAATTTGTCCCATTGACCCAAAAGAATAAAGAAGTATGTTGTATTTGAGAGACCAAATAGGTGACTCCTCTCCATCAAAGGATATCCTATTTCTCTCATGCCACAAACCCCACCATAAATAGAGGGGGGTGGCCCTCCACGCATCCCCGACTCGGCTTTCCATTATACACCCTCTCCAACCCTCAAGCAAATCAACCGTGGAAGCGGGAAGCACCCAGCAAGTCAAACTTCTTAGATGCATGCTATGCCAAGTGTCCAAAGTATAATACAAGTGTCATCACATACGCATGCAACTAGACTCAACATGTCTCTTGCCTGCCCACCCCTCACGTGCATTAAGTAAAGCTTTTTCTAGAAAGCTTTTAGAATTACTAAATTATGCATCTTCCTTGCACATATGTTATAGACAAGTGTTTTTGTAGAGATATATATAGTTGTGTTGTGGTCCCTTGTGCCATGTGTCCTCCATGCACCTTTATTTGAGACAAATGTGCAATATGTATAATATACCTCAAAATCACTTGTCTTCATCTTTTTCCTTGACAATTGTCATGCACACACGCACACTTGTATCCCAAATCACATGCCCAAGCATGTGTGCTGTACTATATATATATATATATAGCATGTATGCATATATATTATATTCATGTGTTACATTAGAGATCTCCCTCCAACTTTTACTATGTATAGTTCCATATTCCACCTATCTCATTTTTTAAATTTAAACACAAGGGTTGCCAGTAGTAACAATCTCAAGTCCAATTTCATTAAAGTAATGTTTCTAAGATGATCCTACTAAAATTGACTGGAAACATATAAATCATTTCTTGGAATACCTTAAACCCTTAAATACAGATTAACAAAATTTCAGGAAATTTTTTTTTTTTTGATAAATAAAATGTATTAGAAAGCGTTCAAAAGGGGAACGCATCCCAACAGATATACAAGCAACCAAACCAAAATAAAACCCTATGGACCCAAAGAACCCAAAAAGTCCACAATCTCATTTAAAGATATACAATTGCTCACCCTCACCCCACTAAAAAGAGAACTAATAATAGCAAATTTCAGCGCCCCAATGGAGGTTTCCTCCCCATCAAAAGATCTTTTATTGCGCTCTTTCCAAATTCTCCAACAAACACAAAGGGGGGTCACCCTCCAACAGACACGAGCATTTCGCTCTTTACAGGTTGAATAGTCTTGTTCGGTCTTTTTATCTTAGTTTAAATTTATATATATGTTTTTTGATAAGTCAAATAACTAAATTTTATTTTAGATGATTATCAAACGCATTGGATATATATGAATAAAGTAAAAGGCATTTTTTTTTCAAAAGGGGAAAACTTAAACTGGAGAAAACCACAAAGACCTCCATTCACTATGAAATCTGAATGACTATAATGCAATACTTTGACCCAGACCAATGCCTGACCTTGAGCAGAATTGCTTTCTGCAGACACTTTAGTTTAGTGCCTTTAGTGATTTTTGAAGAATAATAATAATTATAAAAAAATCCATACGACCTACTCAACTCCTCCTCTAGGTCAAATTCACCACTCGCATTGTGAGATGTCAGAGCCCCCAGTAATTATTTAGTGCACTTTGACTGGTCAATAACACTTAGTTGAGCTTTTCTACAATTTTGGATTAGTGGTTGTAATTTTCTTTTACTTATGAAAAATAATAAATATTTCTTTTATGATAATGAAATACCTTATTTATATATGCATTGGTGTATTGTTATAAATAATTGATGCAGCGCAAATGCAAGAGGATTTTCTTCAAAGAGTTAGATCCTAAGAAGACTAGAGTGAATTGCATTAATAGGGCAGCATTGTTTATGGGTTGTAAATCTGTTTTAATTTTATGTTTAATGTTTTGCTTGAGCTCTAGTTACCGTATTATTGTCATTTTGGTTTTATTTTGTAAGTCATGTGCCTTTTAAGTGAGTCATGTGACTATTTAATGGCTGTTTTGTCATTTTTTAGCTCTTTATTCTGCTGGACAGATTACTAGCCTTTAGATTATATTTATATGAAGGGCTAGGATTAAATTTTTGCCAGAGCATCCCTTGTGTTTTATAAAAGGGTTGTTCCAAGTTGTTATCAGCAGTTTTGCATATTATCTATATATATTGTTTGCTACTGCAGCTTTTACCTCTCCCTTCTTTGGGATTGAGTTGTGGGTGTTTAAGCTATTTTTAGCTTGAATTAGCTCTTTGTTTTCCCCCCTTCATAATTTTTCTTTTTTTTCATAGCTGATTGCATTAGTTGGTATCAGAGCAAGTTCTGGTCCAGTGGTTTTGTGTTGGGTTATCAGATATCTCTCTTTGGTTTTGCGACATGCCACCAAGGGGAAGAAACCCACTCTCTCAGAACGCAGCTGTTGATCAACAAGTGCTTGCTGTGATAGAAGATCTAAGAAGGCAGATTGAAGCTTTAGCCCTGCGCGTTGCGCAAACCCTAGCCCCTTCTCAAGATGGCGTCGAATCTAAGGAGGACAATCTGGAAGAGGTTTTTGTTAATCTTTTTTGCATAAATGCAACACCCAAACCAGCACCTGTTCCATTTCAAGAATGGTGTTCAGGTGGTGACTTTAAGGTGAAAATTCCTGAATTTGTAGGATATATTGGTGGAGGAGAAGAACAGCCACAAGAAGAGAAACCTATCTATGATAACGATGACGAGTCCAATGACAATATTTTTGTCGATATTGAGGAGCCATGGTTGGAAAAGTTCTATCATGGTTCGGAGAATGATTCAATAAATGATGAGTCAAGGTTGTTCATAATATCGACTACTATAGAACCATTCATTGAGTGGAGTAAGTCTCCAATTTTTTATGAAGAACCACATATTGAATCTTATGAGACAAAAATGTCTACGGATTGGGATCAATTAGAGATTTTTGATAAGGAAGCTACAAAAGAAGAATCTCAACATGAAGGAAGCTATATGAGAATGTGGTGTTAACAGTAGCAATGGAGAAACAGTAAGTGTCTAACCTTTCACCAACGGAATTTTTGCAAGAATACAAGTCTGACTATTGTTTGGTGTCTGTAGATTCGAGCACTGAAAAAAGTTTACATAGCTTGGAAAATGTGTTGGATCATAAAGCTTTTGGATCCATGGAGGTGAAAAATAATGGATTTAACTTTTATGTTATGATTTGGAGTGAATTCGTGGAATGCACTACAACTGTTGGGCGTGTGTTGGAACAAAAATTAAAGTTGATTAAACTTTTTACTTTAGGATACGTGTTCCACTGAATTTTGCAAATCTACCCAATTACAAAGAAATCTAGCAAAATCCATGTTGATTATGAAAATGTGTTCTTTATTAGTATTAGAAGATTATTGAATTTGATTCGAGTTCTGAAAAGAAGAAAGAAGGGATGGAACGCCATGCTCACATTTTTTATTCATCATGGAAATTTGCTTCTAACTTGAGGACGAGATTTCTCACCCCTGGAGGAACCAATGCAGCGCATATGCAAGATGACTTTCTTCAAACAGTCGAAGATCATAAAAAGAATAAATTGAAATTGCATTGATAGGGGCAACATTGTTTATGGATCGTAAATCTGTTTTAATTTTATGTTTTAATGTTTTCCTTAAGCTCTAGTTAGGGTATTATTGTCAATTTGGTTTTCTTTTATAAGTCATGTGCCTTAAGGGCTGTTTTGTCAATTTTTAGCTCTTTATTCTGCTGGACAGAATACTAGCCTTTAGATTACATTTATATGAAGGGTAGGATTAAATCTTTGCTAAGGCATCCCTTGTGTCTTATAAAAAGGTTGGTCCAAGTTGTAATCAGCAGTTTTGCGTATTATCAATATATATTGTCTGCTGCTGCAGCTTTTACCTCTCCCTTTCTTTGGGATTGAGTTGTGGGTGTTTAAGCTATTTTTTAGCTTGAATTAGCTTTCTGTTTTTCCTTTTTCAGAATTATTATTTTTCTTTCATAGCTGATTGTATTAATAATGCTTGTTTTGTCAATTTTGTGACAAAAAGGGGGAGAGATGGTATAATTGATTGATATTTTAAATTATCTTTATGGTGATATAGTGCACCGGATATAATATTGTCTTTATTTTGCAAGTTATTTAGTTGTGAAGAATGCAAGCAAGTAAACGATTGATATATTTTGAGTCTTTATTTTTAATTGCAATTTAGTTTTAATTTATGAAGTTTTCTCACAAAATTGCCCAAGAGGAAGGTTTTTAAGTTAATAGGAATTGACCATGTGAGGACGAGCGCCACTACAATACCAAGTGAACTTTGGCATGAGAACACAAATTGAGATAGGCTGGTCAATGTCCCGTCACAAGGTATGCGAAGAGATTGGCAGGATGGAAGAAGCAATACTTGTCTAAGGGGGGGAAAGTAACGCTTATTAAGAGCACTTTATCGAGCCTTCCCACTTTTATTTTATTTTTTTATCTGTGTTCCAAATTCCATGCTCTGTTGCTGCTAGGATTGAAAAAATTCAAAGGGATTTCCTTTAGGGCAGAAGAGGCGAAGAGTTTAAGTATCACCTTGTTAATTGGGAACAAGTTTGCAAGCCCATGAAGATGGGTGGTCTTGGTATCAGAAGATTGATTCCCTTTAATCAAGCTCTTTTGGGTAAATAGTTGTGGCGGTACGGGAGGGAAAGACATCATCCTTGGCAAAGGCTTGTCTCCTGCCGGTATAGGGAAGATAGTGGTGGTTGGGCTACCCGTCCGGTTTCTCACATGGGAGGAGTAGGGGTGTGGAAATCCATTTGAAAGGGATGGGATGCTTTCTCTTCTCATATCAGATTCAAAGTTCGTTATGGCAGATGTGGTCGTTTTTGGGAGGATCTTTGGTATGGAGACCAACCTTTATCTAGTTCATTTCCCAGATTATACGGTATTGCAGTTGATAGACATGCCTACGTAGCTGACTGTTATCGGCTTGAAGTAGTGGGATTACGTGGGATGTGCACTTCCGACATTCTTTTCAGGATTGGGAGTTGGATGAGGTATGTGTTTTTCTGGATTTGATGTATCGACAGGAGGCAGTTGGTAGAGACAGTGATGATTTGACATGGAGTCCCTCTGCCCATGGTCTATTCGAAGTTCGTTCCTTATTTTAATGTCTATCTAATTTAGATATCGTTGATTTTCTGTGGAAGACCATTTGGCGTTCTATTGCTCCAACTAGGGTGGCATTCTTTGTATAGACTGCTGTATGGGGTAAGATCCCGATGATTGATAATTTAAGGAAAAGGGGTAACTGTTTTGTTAACTGGTGTTGCCTATGCAAACAAGATGGTGAGTCAGTTGATCATATTCTCATGCATTGTCCTATGGCGAGCGATTGTTGGAATCTTATTTTTGGTCTGTTTGGTATGCATTGGGTTATGCCTCGTCATTCTAAGGATTTGATTCATGCTTGGAGAGGATGCCGAGTGAGAAGTGGTGTCTGCGATTACTAGAGAATTTACCACATTGTGTTTGGTGGTGTATATGGAAGGAGAGGAATAGTAGAATGTTCGAAGGGAAAGAGTTGTCCACGGCGACGCTGAAACTTCACATCATCCGCTCTCTTTTTAGTTACATGAAGAGGAAGTCTTGTTCCTCTTCCAATGATTTAATTATTTTTTTGGATTCTTTGGGGCCTTAGACCCCGGTTCCACTTTTGTATAAGGGACGCGTTCCCCTCTTGAACGCCTTTTTATTTAATTATTACTTATCAAAAAAAAAATGTCCCGTCACAAGGTGCACAATGCGTTGGTCTATATGTGTTTGGCTAGAGTGTTGGGCAAAACCTTGGGCCCGTGACAAGAAATTTGATTCCACATATAAAGGGAGCTTTCATTTTCTTCTTCAGTCTCAGTGCATCCAATTATGGAAGATTTTCTCTTCATTTAGAGAGCTCAGGTTTTATTATAATTCTAAATTCTCACCTTTCATTTGCAATGTGACATTCATAGGTATCAAAAAAATTATTGTTTTTTGCTATTTGCCACCAGGTTCTTTCATCCAGGAAGGTTCAACTATTATTAGGTTATTTTGTCCGTTGCATTAAAAGTGCTGGTGAATTCAGAACTTCAAACAAGGACGGGGAAGCAGATTATGACTTAGCAGCAGTTCATGATGCTGAAAAACTAATTCTGGAGCTGCAGCCTGCTGAAAGAAGCTTACAAAGTCAAATTCTGGAAGCAGATTTAGTGTTATGGACTGTTGGCTCTAAACCTCTACTTCCTCAATTAGAACCCTGTGATAAACCTCATGAGCTGCCTCTTAATTCCAGGGGACAAGCAGAGACAGATGAAACTCTGAGTGTCAAGGGTCACCCACACATATTTGCAGTTGGTGATTCTTCAGCATTAAGGGACTCGAACGGAAGGATACTTCCAGCCACAGCACAGGTATAATAAATACAAATATCCTAATATTTAGGGGGAAAAAAAAAAAATCCTAATATTATGGGTGATGCATTTTTGTTGATATCAGCTAGGAACTTTCCTGGTCCCTTCCATAGTTATATATATGTTGTCACTTTTTTATCACTCCTCGTTGATGATGTGTTCTCATATTCTTCCAGGTTGCTTTCCAGCAAGCAGATTTTGCCGGTTGGAATCTATGGGCTGCAATCAATAACAGGCCTCTGTTGCCATTTAGGTTGCAAACTGAAACACAAATTCAATTTTCTGAAGCATTCCTTTTCAGAAATAAATTAGTATTTTACTTATAAAAAAAAAAAAGAAATAAATTAGTATTTTCATGGCAATCAAAAACATGGTTTGAAGCATATAGGTCTTGTCTCTACAAAGTACTGGTGTGATTCAGTATTCTTAACTCTTATCCCATGATATGCTGCATATGCTATGAGTAATCGACTAAAAACTGAAAGTAATATAAAAAAGCAGGAGTAACTGTGGCACACCTTTTAACAACTACATATATTAGACAAAAATATGTTACTTGCGAGACTAAAGTGCCTCACAAGGACATATTAGGCCATTCCATTCGTTTATAATGCATAACTTTTTTACATTTATTTGGATAGGTAAGATACACACCCAACTCATGTGCCCACACTGACTATTGCTCCAATAGGGACTTCAACCCTCTTTAACCTTCCATGGGGAAGAAGGAGATACCATTTGAGCTAAATGCTCGGTTGCATATTGCATGGTTGATCAGAGTTTGGGTTTTTTTTTAGGTAAATAAAGTTTGGCCAAGTTGCTGAACTTTCTTTATCATTTTCCTTACTATAGACCTACCTCATTGACTTTTTTGTTTTGTTACAGCTACGAAATTCGAGATTTAGATATCAGGATGTTGGGAATTGTGTCTCAAATTCCTACTCTAATTAGGTTTCTATTTTAGAGTTGTATTAAGAAATTTCTTGTTAAGCAAGTTTTGGGCCCTAAGAAATTGTAATCCTTGTCGAATTAGGTTTTGCACTCTATAAATAGGTACGTAGGTTATGAGTTGAGACTTATGAGATTGAGAAAGATGTAGTTTCATGAGGGAATTGATGGTGGAGGTAGTTTATGGATTGGTAGAGTGCCAAAAACACCGGCGGCACTGGTAGTGAGGAGATAGGCTTGTGGAGTGATACATGGTGAAAAAACATGTACGTGGTGTTGGTACTCTACTACTATAATATCTCTACGAATCATAGTAGAATCTCTTCTCATTCGTGGATGTAGGCCATCTTGGCCGAACCACGTCATACCCTGTGTTTGTGTGTGATTGCTTTGTTAGCTTTCATTGGATCTTGGTATCCGTGCATTTTTGCTGTCCTAACACATAAATATATTGATGGTACTTAAATGGAATTACATTCACAAATTTAAACAATATATAATGAACTCTAAGTTTAAAAAAATAAAATTTGTTGTTTCTTAAAAAAATTTCTAACGAAAAAAATACACTAATATTGAGAAAAATCTCCATACTAAAAAACTTAATTAAAAATTTTCTTATGTTGAGTTTTGTGGTTAAAGTCTGTCAAAATAAAAAAGAGTATCCCACTTTTGGAGTGCCCGGAGAGATATGTTTTGATAAAAAGCAAAAAAATAAAAAAAGAAATAAAAAGTAAAAAAAAAAAAAAAGGAAAATAAGTTGTTACTTTATATTAATAAGTAGTTCATTGTCGTCAGTGCATATTTTCATAGTGACACCTGTTGTCAATACTGAGCCATAACCATAAGCAACTTATAATTAATGCATTTTTTTGTGACACCTAATTTATGATTAAATGAGGTTATTCAGTTTCTCAGAATCTAGGATTTTTAATTAATAGGCCATATGTTAGGATCCAAACCAATGAAGGAGATCCATCAGAACATCTTGTGTTAAGAGAGGTTGAACTACTAGTTTATGTGGCAAAAACTGCTTCTCATGGATCATGCACTGACATATCAGATCTTCTGAGATTTGTGGTATAATCTATGCTCTTGATAATGATGGCTGCTTCACTATACATTTCAATGTGGTTAATGGTTGTGTATGTTGGAACCATGCACAAAAATTCCCATTTATATCATCTGTTGATGTCTGTAATGTTTTATAACTTGAATTGTTTATTTTATGTGCATAGGTTGTCCAAAATTCAAGTCTATTTTTGTAGCCTTAAGAATATTTATTACCGACACGAGTTTGCCTGTGCTCATGTTTTATCTTCATACTACAATGTATGTGCACTGAATAGAATTTATAACAATATGTATCATGAGATATGATTAATCAAGATTGCTATGTTCTCATAGGCTTTGGTGCTACATTATATGTTTGTGTGTGGGGGGGGGGGGGGGGGGGGGGGGGGGGGGATGTGCTCATGTGTGGGTGTGCTTGTGTATGCACCTGATATGTTTGTGCAAAGGTCTTTGGACATAATCTTTAAACGCAGTTCAATGTTTCCCAGGAAGAAACCACCTAGCCCAAATGTAATATTGGTGCAACAGTGATTGGAGTTTGAAATAGTTTTCTAGTGCTAGTTAGTGTTAGAGACCTAGTATTTCAAGAAATAACTAAATATATGTGCATTAGATTAGTTTTAAACAAGCATCAATGGTGTTTTAACTATTCCAGTTCGGTTGCCAGATTTCAGAATTTAGGTGAGATGATGATTCTTGGGAGAAATGATGCTGCACTCTCACCAAGTTTTGTTGAAGGGCTGACCTTGGAGGGTCCTGTTGGTCATGCTGGTAAAAATTGACCCACCCTCTTGGATTCATTTTAGCCCCTTTCTTTTTTCATCACATTTTGATTTTTCCCTTCATTCTATGGTTTCGTGGTGTTGCAGCAAGAAAAATAGCATACTTGATCAGATTACCTACAGACGAGCATCGGCTTAAAGTCGGGATCAGTTGGCTGATGAAGTCTGCTGTAGATTCTGTTGCATCACTGCAGGGTACCCTTACCAAGGTTCTTTCAAGCGGTTAGATAAATTGTTTGTAATCATGTAATTTTCTTCCTATGAGCAGATGAATCTGTGAAAGTAACGATTTGCTTTTTATAATGTAATGGCTCGTACATGCTTTCAATCAATATTTTGATGATATACTAGAAAATTTTGATATGCCATTTTGCCAAGGCCCTGAAGATAGTTGATCAAAGTGGTTATAGATGATTGTTCGTTTTGGCCACATTTTCAAGGGCCATATTGGTGATTGGAACAATGCTTGTCTTCCATACCAGTGAGGATTTACCTTCTCCACACCAGTGATGTGTGGCACAATGGCAAAATGATGCTTGGTTTTTTTTTTTTTTTATTTTATTTTAATATATATTATTTTCTTATTTAATATTATATATATATGAATCTCGACTTTCAGTCTTATATATATAATTCAAAACGGACAAATCCTTCTATCATTGTGAGAATCACTAGTATGGACGAGGATCCTCTTCATCATGTGGAGCCAAGTATTGTTTACTTGATTGCAGATGGGGAATGACATAAAAGAATTTGAATGGGTAAGTTCATTTTTTCTTGGCTCAGCTTTGCGGATTGAAATTTAGAATGGTCAAGGAAGATGAACTCACTCTCACAGTGTCGCGCGCGCGCACACACGTATGTATATATATATGTGTGTGGTTTAACTTTAGAAGGATTGCGTCGGTTTCATGTAATAATCCATCAACCCTGGAGCCATAAACAGTGTAGCTTGCAGCCCAATCTGCATTTTTAACTCCTGAAAGGAAAACAAGGAAAGAGGAGACAATTTATATGAAAGGATAGGTATAGTGGAATATCAGAGGGGGAGAGATGATTTTAAGGAAGGGACTTGGATCCTCTAAGTAAACTATTCTCTAAGTTATCTTAAGTTGAATTCGCCGCAAATTGACACGTGACATTTTAAAAGAGAAACACCATCGCGACTTATTTAAGATGGGAATAAAGAGGGGAGGGGGAAGATTTTTTTTGACAAATATGAGGGAGAGAAAATGACGTTAAATATCGTTAGAATATAGTGAATTTTCCTTAATTCAAAATGGTAGAATTTTTAAACTTTGATAAATTTTCCTTTATCTAAAAAAGGTGCAGTTTTCAAACTTATAATCTATAGCAAATTTAATTTAGGACATTGTTAAATTAAGGTGCTTTTAAACTTTGATAAATTTTTCTTTATCTAAAAAAAGTATAGTTTTCAAACTTTCTTTAAATTAGTTGACGTGATTTAATACTAACAGTAAATATAATTTCAACGTCACGTGTCAATTTGTAACGAATTCAATTTAATCAACTGTATCATATAATTTTCCTACACAGACACCAACATGCCACATATTTTTCTTCTTCATTATGTTGATGCCCATATAGCCTATACAGAGCCGGCGTTTAAAGATTTTGTACAGGAACAGGTTGTCATAGGAAAACCCATACGTGTGCAAGACAGGTTTATTTTGGTTTTGAACGTGCAAATTATGACCTATATATATAATAATTGCAACAACTATAAATATACATGGTGTTTTGATTCGAAAGACAACTTTATATTTCAAAAAGTCCATCAGCTACGAGGTTAGACGCGTGTTTTCATAATAAAAAGGTTAAAACAATTATTTTGCACGCTATCAAAGTACCCCGCACAATGACACAGATGTCGCGTGCCAAACTTCAAGGGGTCTGACAACTCGATTACAATAGATGATGTCGTTAAATTCCCGAGCCAAATATGTTATCATTAAACCAATTTGTTGTCACACCAAGACGCCAAATAATGAAATTAATAGTCATAAGATCAAGGAAAATTATAAGGACTCGTTGAACAAATTCCCAGATGAACGATATTCCCCTTAAAGGAAGGGGACAGCTTACAATGAGGGCATATTAGATAGTCGTACTTTGAGCACTACTAAAGAAGATGCAAACCAACATTCCTACTTGTGTGAATCTTCATAAGAAACATTACAGAAGATCCCAAATGAATAGAATTATTAGACAAGTAAGAAGGCAGGATTTACGCGATGACGAAATCACGTGCTATGAGCACCATGTGTTCTTGAAGCCCATATACCAAAGACGAGAAACCAGAAGACGAACAAAATAGCCCAGTAGCGTGCAGGTCCATATTTGATTCTAGTAAGCACAATCTGCAAAGTTTGTAATGTGGTTAGCAGTCTCATTACAAAAATATTAGAAGAAAACTAAGACATCCAGCCAAAAACAAAAATAAAAAAAAGCACAGGCCGGGTGCTCTATGGAAAAAATCAGCTATCTAATAAGACGACAATGTGAGTGTGTGAGTTTCTTGGCAGGAAAATAAAAATGAAGCATAGAGAGAATCTATGACCAAACTAGCATCATGACAGTAACCATGAAACAATGTGCCATACAGAACTTTTCAGAAAACGCTACAAAAAAATTTGTCCAGCACAACACTTTGGAGAGCAAATAAAGGCCAAAAAAAAAAAAATCAAAAATCAAAAAAAAAAAAAATTGAAAAATAAGGATATGCCTGGTGCAGGCAACTTAGGAGAGGTCAATCTATCCAAAAATAGCTTACGGAAGGTCAGAATTTTTCTACTTTTCGCCACAATTTATATGACAACTATGTCCTATCTCTCTCTCTCTCTCTCTCACACACACACACACACACAAAGAACTATATCAACAAATTAGAAACTAAAGTTGACCCAGTATCCTAACAAGAATAACTAATGAACCACCACAGGACTTTGGTTGTTCATGAAAAGAGAGTTGAATATACTCAAAAGCATCAGTTCCTAGTAGATGTAAACATGTCATAGGAGATCTTTCGAAGGAAAGGAGACTTCTTCTATGGGGTAGTTGAAGTTCTCTATTATTAACACTTTTTTGTTGGGTTATAGGGAGATATTGTAAATCCATGGAGGAGATGCTTGATTTTTTGGACTTTTGAGAGTTTAGAGGCTCTATTAGGCCTTGTGTATCTTCTGAGGGATGCGTTTCTCTTTTGAACGCTTCTTTTATACAATCTTTACTTGTCAAAAAAAAAAATTAGAGAGCATTTACATGTGTCAATGCAGCTAAAGCCAACTGTGATTTTTGTTTCTATTATGCTGACCAGTCATAATGGTGAATACACCATACCCTACTGTGTTTGCACACATGGATTAAACTTTACCAAAAAGCATTTTGACAACCCCTGTGAGAATTATAAGCCTTAATATTCCGTGCTTTGAACCCATGATCTCCAGACCCCGCAATGGCGAGAGCCTCGTGCACTGGGCTTTCTCCCTCTGCCCTTTTAATGCAATATAGTCAAATCAGAAACCTCTCCCCCCCCCCCCTCTGTGGCTCTTACTAGAGCAGCTGAAGGTCATGATCTAGACCTATAGGGGGTTGATAGGTCTTGAAACAAACTCTAATAAACTTTAACTAATAATTAAATTATACTTAATTGAAACAATACTCAACAATCAAACTAACTAGCAGGCAAATAAATTAAGGGTAAATTACACTCAGACCCCTGAGGTTAGGTCATTTTTCAGCTAGATTAACATTTTGGTTTTAGATTTCACTTATATTTGAATTAGTGGTTTAACATTTCACTTACACCCCAAATGTCAATTTTTGGTGAGGTCATAGTACTTTTGAGGTGTTAAATGACTATGCTACCCTTTGACCTCATGTTGACTATTTTTGTGACCAAACTACCCCTAACATACACCTTTCCTATTCTTCCTCCTCCTCAGACCATCCCAATTAACCCATCAATCTCGCCATATGCGCACACATACAAAACAGCCATATATATATAGATATATATACACACAAACAAAACAGCCACACACACACATATATATATATACACAAATACAAAACAGCCATATATAGATATAGATATACACACACATACAAAACAGCCATATATATATAGATATACACACACACATACAAAACAGCCATATATATATGTATATATAGATATATATACACACATATACAAAACAACCATATATATATATAGATATATACACACACATACAAAACATCTATTCCAAAGTAAAGAAATCCCATGTTTTTAATATCATATCTTGTAAATCCACCATTCCAAACACACCATTAAAACTCCATTATTGCAATATTAGGTGGGTTTATTCAATCAGCTTAAAATAAAGCAGATATTTATATACAAACACAATTGATTTCAATCAAGTCAATTTATTTTTAACAATCACAATATTTATTATTTCACTATATATATATATATGTAACCTATATATATATATATATAACCTATATGAAAATGAATTAATTATATATAAATAAACAATTATAAAAAAATGTGTTTATTTAAATTTGGAAAATGAGAAAAATATATAAAATAAAATAAAATAAAATAGCAGACTGAGCCATTTCATGATGAAAAGGGATCTTCTGATCAAGAGGAGACTCATTAGCAATGAAAACCTGACCAACAACGTTGGTCCGAGGGGTGGCGCCACCCACATACGGCAGTTCATTGAAGCCGAAAGCTTCAACGACAACATTAAAGTGAGAAGTGGTTATTAACAGAAATCCTCTGAGGAGAATAGTCCCTGTTTTGTGAGGAATAGAGTCCAACCATGGCTTCTGAGCTTTGATTTCTTCTATAACAATAGAGAGATTGATTGGGACTGTGTTGGGGTCTCAAGATAGAACTGTAGGAAAGAGAATTGTATTCTTGTAGGTCTTTTGCTGAGGTATTCTAATTTCTGTGAAGGAACTATTTTCTGGCATTTTACTTATAGAGAATTCTCTCTCTCTCTAGAATTCTGATATATATCTCTCTCCTAACTCAAGTTATTATGTTCATATTATATGTGTGAGAAATATAAATATAAATAGAGGAGGATGTGTGGTGGTTGCGTTGTGGCGGTGGTGTGTAGGGGTGCACACGGTTCCGGTCGGAACCGGAACCGTTCGCAATGGTTCCTAAAAACCGAAATCGAAACCGGAACCGTATAGATTAGAACCGAACTGTAGAACCGGTTCGGTTCCATGAGAACCGTTAACCATGAGTTGAGAGCGCCTGAAGCTTGCGAACCCGAACTAGAATAGTAGCGATGGAAACTGAAAGATGTGGGTTTTGATGTTTCTGAACAATCTGAAATGATATGCCGACAAATCTGAAATATATGGGTTTTGAAAGGTAAATATTTTTCAAAGACTTCTTTTTGGAGGCTAGAGTAAGAAAGAGCTCCAGCTGGG